CTTCTGGCTTCCATATGGTTATCAGAATTTAATCCACGAAGGAATTGATGTTTAAGATGTTCTTCATCATATCCAAGCGAGTCATTACATTTTTTTACTTTTGCAAAATACTCCATTACTGAATCATTTCCTTGCTCCAAACCTCCAAATCGGAATTTCTGAATATTAGTAGGTCCGGTTGAGATCTTTTTTAAGTGGTATATAATATTTACGATATTTGCTACTAAAAATTAATTATCTGAATATTAGCTGTTTTTTCGATTAAAGATATATAATATACATCTTGAGAATGACACAACTATTGTGGAGCAGGCCATTAGGCAATTCTTTGAATTATGATCCAAAGAGTCTAAATATTTTTAATTCACCAGAATTACTAGAACAGATCTTATATTTTTTAAAAATTGATCAATCTCTCTATCCTGCCCTATTCGTCAACCATCTTTGGTATCACTGCGGTGCTCCTATTCTATGGAGTAAGGTTATATTGAATGGAGAAAAAAGCCATCATTTTATTGTAAATTATGACCATAAACAGCTAAAAAAATTTATAAAAGCAATATGTGGAAAACCTATGCCTCTTTATGGTTCAGGCTTAAAGTATCTTGAAATTGTAAAATATTATAATCTCTCAAATAGAAAAATCAGTAAAATTATACAAGTATGTCCCAGTATAATTCATCTAGATCTCAATTTTAGTAAAGGTTTCAATGATATAGCCCTTATTGAAATAGTGCATTCATATCCCAGCTTAAAACACCTCAAAATTCATAATAATAAAAAAATAACAGATTTCTTCATTTCTGAGATTGCACGATCATGTTGTAATATGAAATATCTAAATATTTCTTTCTGTAAACATATTACTGATGCATCTATTTGTGATATTGCACATTATTGCCAAAAACTTGAGCATTTCAATATTTCTGGTTGTGATATTTCCGATTTAGCTATAGAAAAAATTGCAACTTCATCTAACAATCTAAAATTTTTTAATATACAATTATGTTGGGGTATCAACGAAAATGTGGTAAAAAAACTTA